CGGACAGAACTGGAAAGCAAGGCTCAGGACAGAGAGTAGGTTGGAGAATGCTGGTCGGCGGCCTATGCTTCGTTGAAGGAGAGGTAAGAGGCGGAAGTAAGTAATATGGAATCCAAGATTCTGATGGCAGGAATGGTGTTTGAACCTATTGTCGGTCATCGACTGCTATGAGACTGCATCTCCTGACGTTGTTTCACTGCCTTGTGAATTAAACTTGTAGGTGGAATGCTCAACGAGTAGCCCAGTTAAAAAACCATTTTTTCTATTTTGAACAGCCAAGCAGTATATAAAAGTACCTCTTCGTACCAATAATTATGTGTATGATAGAAAATTCTTTGGAACCCTTTAAAGAAATGCTTCATTGTATATGGAATAACAATATTTTAACGTAAAGAAAGAAAAGGCAGGACAAGATTCTTTTTTTTCTCAATAAACAAATCATGAATAATATTATTAGCATAGATGGGCTGTGGTTAGAAGTGGAATCCAAGAAGCACGTCTCATTCTACTTGGGACTTGTCTTTGACTGCATGTTAGAGTGTTGATGTCCACTCCCAGACTTGAATCCAGCACTGTTCGCTTCAAACACTATCTCTTTATTCACTGAACAACTATTGATTCCAGATAACCACTGCTGGCGTGAAGTTGAATTCATTTGAATTGATTGTTTGACATTTCCGAAATGGGACGGAACATGCGTCATGGATTCCACCGTTAGCCACTATCCATCTCAGCTTTGTTGATGCATTATTGTTTTATATCTTTTAGCTACTGTTTTGAAACTATGTCAGATATAGTTATCTACTGATAAAGTTTACCAAGGTAAAAACACTTAATTATTCCAACCAATAATATTATATCCTGCAATGAATGTAAGGATTAATTGGTCCAATTTTTCGATCTATAAAGATATTTCTTATGATAGAGTTATGAAGATTGTTGAGTTTCATTAAAATCATGAATCACAATCATTGTTAGACAATCATTAGAAACCCGAAGGCACTGTACAATCGTTTCGTCATCCTATGGGACTCATCAGCATTGCACATCCACGACCCCTGCTACTCACAGTATTCGAACGCAGGACCTTCGATCTCGCACTGGCGAACTCTTAACCTCTACACCACTGAGCCAACATTCAACGGTGTTAATGTCTAACTATGATCAATTTAAAGCTTTTGCGCAACCTCACTCATTGTCTTCGGTAGTTACTACGTACACCCGACAATGTTGAGCTCCACTGGTCACGAAACGGCCATCCAGTGCTTCCAGGTTTCTAATGACGGTCTAACTATGATTAATTTATGATTTCTGCATAAATATATTTTTTTCTGTATTATGAATTTGAGTTATTTTGTCTGGTTAGCGTTTTTTTTAGCGAGTTAGTTTTCCTCACCTTTATTCGGGCTTGGGATCGGTAATAGCCCCAGAGGGAGCTCCAGGCGTAGTTGTATGTTATTAGGTCAAATTTTGTTCACTTTTTACTTACATATATTTGTATCTATCTATCTATTCATCTATCTAAATATATAAATATAGCCAGAATTAAAACTAGGCGATGGTCCAATCGGTATAATCTGTGCACCAACACGTGAACTGGCATTGCAAATCTATAGTGAAGCTAAAAAATTAGCTAAAGTCTACAATTTAACTGTTGTTTGTGCTTATGGCGGTGGAAGTCTGTGGGAACAACAAAAAGCCTGTGAAGCTGGTTGTGAAATTCTAGTTTGTACACCGGTAAGTTATATATATATATATATATATATATATATATATATATTACAGAATTTCTTAGAACGTCTTTTTCGTTTTCATCTTATAATTTCACTAATTTGTATTTTCTTGAATCTTTAATACCAAATTTTCCTCATAATAATTACTGCCTACTTCTAGCGTGAATACTGAAAGGCACGATTGGCTTTTTCCAATTTGTGTCACTTATGGCGTAAGCCAGATATCTGTCTGCTAACTAAAAGACGAGTCTGCCGCTCAGCAGTTCGCTCCGTCCTACTAAACAGATCTGAAGCATGTCCAGTAAGAGTACTGGTTACTGGTTTTCGATCGAAAGTGTCTCCGAAGCATTGCTCGTATAACCTGAGACAACCGAGTAAGCAATGCTATAGTTAGAAAACGAGTGCTAGGTAGGAATGGCAAATCAATAGGTGAAGGATTGAAACTTCATCAGTTGAGGTGGTTGGGACATGTGCTGCGTATGCCTAACCACCGACTGCCTCAACGAGCTGTTTTGTGATGTCCGAGTAGGGCGGAAGAAATCTAGAGGAGGCCAGACAAAAACATGTCACAAATCCTTGAAGTCACTGACAAATGGACTAAGTTATGTCGGTAGGTGTCGACTACTTGGTTGGGGTCCGCGAGATGATAATAATCGATGGTTAGAGACCCTGAATGACATGGCTGAAAACCGTTTGCAATGGCGCAAGTACATCCATTCTTTATTATCGTGAGATTTAGCCCGATAATTTCATCTCTGTATTGTAATTGGAGCATAGCAACTTGAACTGATGTATATACATACTGTAATGAAAAAAGACGTGAAAGCTGATGGGATAACTTAATTTATTTGTACACATGAAATATCCATTTGTAAAACAATCGTATTTTTGGCTGTCTTCTTCCTTCGTTTCTTCTACTCCTAATCAAAACATTCTGATCACATTATTCATTCAGATACAACACCCTTCGCTTCGCCGATAACTTCAAGGTGATACTCTATTGTATATTCGCTATATACTATTTATAAGCTCCGTTGTTAGTAGTACACATCACATTACCAATTTCTTCATTGCAACTAACTGGTTGAGTTGTTGATATCTTAAAAATGTTCATTTTATCATCAGTGACTAGCTTTCTGAGGGAATTCTCAGAGTTCTAGTGAAAATCTATGACTAGTGAAGTCGAATATGAAGCAGTTACCCACCGAAGACAATGGATGAAGTCGCACAATATCATAAATTGATTGAAGTTAGACACTAACATCGTTCGATGCAGATTTTAGTGATCAACAAGTTAAGCGTTCACCTGTGCCATGCTGAGATTCTAAACTCCTAGCTAATGATGCCTGTTGCACTATTTGACACAATGTCCGTACATTAAAAGCTCTAACATGTAGTCTAGAATGAGGTTTCAGGAGACCAAGAATAACTTTTCGTGGACTCGAATCATTCGCATCCGCGGTGCGTGGTGATAAAGGAATGTGAATAAAGTTAGTCATGAAGATAAGAGAGATATTAGGGGGTGTAGGAAGGATTTGATTATGACCAATTTGGTCTCGTGCTGTTATGGGTATGAGGGCGGTTGTCACTTCCCGGCTGCCCACACCGTGGAAGGTTGTTTCTTGAGGAACCTGAAAAGGAAGATAGATTAGACTTGGTCTTAACGACCTGGGAGCGTGACCGCAGAGCCCAAGGGAAAACTGCTTAAGGCCGGTCACGCACGGCCTTTTTATGAGACGTTTTTTGATTAGTAGCTCCGCTCTTGAAAGCCCTTAGTGGGCACCCTTACCACCGGAGACGGAAATCCGTCAGGTTCGACCTTTTCTAACCCTTCCTTCCTTGTGAGAAAGCAGCATCGTTGCGGATGCTGGTTTTCCGAGAGAAACACTTCACTGCTATCACACCTCTTTACAGTCAGCAGTACAACTTCGCCCTCACACCTTGGGTAGCTGCTTTTAGTCTGATCGTTCTCCAATCGACCTGCCTAACATGGTAGAACCTACAGGAACATATGTTCCAGCCAATTCAGGTCGGTTGGATCATGACAATAAGCAATCCCGATCATCAGATCTAGGTAACAGCTACGGTCGGACCTGTGCCAGGCCCTAAAAATGTATGTTCAATTCCCGCAAGAGAGGGTCCTCTGATGTGCACTGTTATTGATGAACCCGATACTTGGACTAAACGACCTTCCAGTGCTCCCTGATCCTTAGCGGTTGTCTAATATTGATCAATTTTATAAGTTTAATGAAAATTTCAACAACCCCAATTGGATGATATGTATCTCTTTTTTTCCTGTGTTTATTTAGGGTAGATTAATTGATATTGTGAAGAAGAAATCCACTAATTTACGCCGAGTTACATATCTTGTATTTGATGAAGCGGACAAAATGTTCAATTTGGGTTTTGGTAAATTTATTTTGTATGCAGTGTATGTACCCTATGCATAGTAGTAGTAGATATTGTAATTGGAATGTGTGTACTTACTTCATCATGCTATCTATTATTGATTTATTTATTGATGTATTTTGAGTGTAAAATATTATCTAGTGCTGAATCTCTCTGTCAATTCATGAAGTAGTCGAACGTGTAGATCGCAGCATACTTATCATCCATCCAGGCAGTCTCATCAGGGCTGATGACCTGCACGGATACAGAAAACCCGATCGGCTTTTGCCAATCAATTTACGTCACTTATGGCATAGGCGAGATATCCGTTTGCTAACCAAAGGACGCGAGTGTACTGCGCAGCAGTTCATCCCGTCCTACGAAACATGGACATTCGTAGGCTATTAGTATTTGATTATAGATGTCTTTGAAGTATTGCTCGTATATCCTAGGACAGCTGAGGAAGTAATGCTAGTGTTAGGAAACGAGTACTAGATAATGATGGAAAATCAATTGACGAAGTATTGAAGCTTCATCAGTTGAAGTGATTAAGACATGTGTTACAAATGCGCAACCACCGACTGCCTTGACGAGCCACGTTTTGAGGTGTAGGAGTAGGTTGGAAGAAAGATAGGGGCAGCCAAACCAAAACATGGCAGAAATCCATGAAATCACTAACAAGTGGACTGAGTCATGTTAGTAGATGTAGGCTACGTGGTTGGGGTTCAGGAAACGAAAGTAACTGACGGTTATAGACCTTGAAAGAGCTGGCTCAAAATCGTTTGCAATTGTGCAGATGCATCCACTCTTTGTGTTCTATGAAATTATAATTTTCTGAATTCCTGATCATCTCTATCTTTCTCTTTCTAAATTTATCTCACTGAATTATACTTTTCGAATCATATCTTCGAACCCTAATCTTCTCCATTACTGCTAATACTTCTACTATCTCTACCACTATTGGATTTGAACTGACAGTTGCTTCTCTGTGCTGATGGGGTTGGCAACCAGAACATATGTACTCATGTACGAAGTTCTACGTTGTAACTGACTGATTGACTGACTATTTAACAACAGTCAGTGTCATACACCACTTGTTCTATCAGGATCTTGGAGACTAAATGCGCTACTGGTTTTAAGTTAGGTTTTTCTATTTCGTCTAGATGAATCCTCTGTACACACCAATCCGCTTTCTAACCCTGTTTGGATATTTGCTTTTTTGTCCCCTCTTAATTTCGTGAACGACATTCTTACCACAAGATTGTAGTGAGTAGGATTTCCCTGGGTATAGTAGCTGTACACAAGTTTGACCATATAAGAGAGCACTTAGAAAGAGAGAGCAAATTCTTCTCACCACCAGGACATTTTAGCCGACCTAATATGGCCTAGAATCGGTTGTAATTAAGCAGGTGTTATTCTGTATTATCACAAATTGATTAGAAGAACTAAAACAAAATATATCATCTATTAGATTCCCAACGATCAATAGTCTGAATTGTTACGCGATCGCTGAGTAAAAATAATGAAGGTTTGATACGCATCCCTTAAACAATCAACTAATTACTGGTGATTTATGCACTGCAGTCCATCATCTATGACATAAAAATGAATTTTTATTGATTTTCTTTTCAAACTTAGAACCTCAGGTTCGTTCAATCGCCAATCATGTGAGACCTGATCGACAAAGTGAGTTCAATGAATCATTCATAATTGCAAAATCTTTTGTATACATATATATATATATATATATATATATATATATATATATATATATATATATATATATATAGTGAGTCTTCATACTTACTTACTTACGCCTGTTACCCCCAATGGAGCATAGGCCGCCCACCAGTTTTCTCCAACCAACTCTGTCCTGGGCTTCCCTCTCCAGTTCTGTCCAAAGTTTGTTCATTCCTCTCATATCTTTTTCTATTTCTTGGCGTAATGTATTCTTTGGCCTTCCTCTTTTCCTTTTGCCTTGAGGGTTCCATGTGAGGGCTTGTCTCGTGACGCATTTAGGTGCTTTTCGTAGTGTGTGTCCTATCCACTTCCACCGCTTCTTCCTCATTTCCTCATCCACTGGAATCTGGTTTGTTTTCTCCCACAGTACGTTGTTGCTGATGGTGTCTGGCCAACGAATCCGAAGTATTTTGCGTAGACAACCGTTAATAAACACTTGTATCTTCTGGATGATGGCTTTGGTAGTTCTCCAAGCTTCCACTCCATACATTAGAACTGTCTTGATATTTGTATTGAAAATCCTTATTTTGGTTTTGGTTGAAAGTTGTTTGGAGTTCCAGATATTTTTCAACTGTAGAAATGCAGCCCTTGCTTTGCCAATCCGTGGGCTGCATTTCTACAGTTGAAAAATATCTGGAACTCCAAACAACTTTCAACCAAAACCAAAATAAGGATTTTCAATACAAATGTGATACAGTTCTACTGTATGAGTGAGTCTTCATCAACACATTCAATCATTATAAATGAGGGTATCCTGGTGTGCTGTAGTAGTAAGATTGTCTGGTTATATATTGATTTTTTGCGACTAAACCCTGTTCAGTGATGTGAATTTTGCTGATTTGATGAGATGAAATGATCCATGTATTTGTGGTTAAA